TCCATATCCTGGTCTTTTTTGGCCCTTGGAAGTCTTGCCTTTCTCTCTTTAAGGCTGTAACTGATGTGAGAGAAAGTAATAGTGATGGTGCATGCAGGGGTTCTTGAGGGTGGGTTTTGCTGTAAAAAGCTGCTTTTTGGTACTGTTTGTGGCAAAAGTGCCTTTTAACAGCAAAAGTTGGACCAAACTGGGGTAAGCTGAGCAAGGTTTTAAATGGTGGGTGGGAACTCAAGTGTTCTGGTTTGTTTCCCTATAAAACACTCTATAAAATGTCCCTGGGGGAGAGAACCTGTAACAGTAATGAAAAAGCCTGTGACAAAAGCTCTTCAGATGGCATTTTTTTGCCAGGCAAGAATTCCCAGTTCCAGTGTTACGACTGTGACTTGGAACTCTGCCTCTCTCCACCAAAAGAACACAAAAAGGGAAAGCCAAGGTCTTTAAGCCGTGGGGATATAGCTCATCCTCCCCAATGCAGTCATGTGCAAGCCTGAGATGTCTGGCCAAGGGGCTCTGTGGAATTGATGTGGGTTAACGTTCTCCGGCCTGAGCGGTGTGGGATGGGTAGAGCAGATGGTCGTGGGTCCTGCATGCTCTTTAACCAGGTGGAAAGTGGGCTTCCTCCATAGCCTTACTGTGGTGTTTGTGCTGTTTGAATGCAGGTGTGCAATAACAACAGGAACTGTCACTGTGAACCAGGCTGGGCCCCTCCTTACTGCGACGTGACAGGCTACGGCGGGAGCGTGGACAGTGGGCCGCCCTACAGTGGCAAGTCAAGGTCGTGGCTGCTCTGGGGCCGTGGCCCTGCCTGCTGTGGGGCTGAGCACAGGGCTCCCCACGGCTCCAGAGCGATGCCTCGGTGGTTGGCTCTTCCCTGGGTGTCATCTGCAAACAATTCTAGTTGAGGTGGTGGGCTCAAGGGCTTGCGCTTCTCCTCTGGGATGCTGGGGATGCGGAAAGGAACCGGGCTGGTTTCATTGCCCCCCAGGTGATTTCAGACACATTGGAACCAAGATCCTCTTGGACTTCCCTGTTTCCAAGCAGGAAATTGTAGCCCTTTCCATTCAAAAGTTGAGATTTAGCTGGGGATATGGGTTCAAATGCATGGGTTTGACTCTGCATCTCCATAAGGATGCGCTGCTTCTAGCAGTGGTGGCAGAGATGAGTAGCTGTCCTGTTCTGGTCCCTGCATGTGCACTCATCTGGCAGAGGTGGGCTGGGGCAACACTGGTTGGGAAGCCACTGTTTTATTAGTGTTTGTTACTTGAGTGCAGACAGCATGCTTACAACATGTAGTAAATACATACAGAGTCCCTGCCCCAACCAACTTAAGGTATTGAAGAGAGGTGGAGGGAAAGGATGCTGTGGTGGTGCAGTAACAGGCTGGAGAATCACAGTGGAGCAAGGACAGATGCCTCAAGACAACAAAAGGGCAGGGTCTTTTAGTACAGCTTTGTTAAGAACCTGAGTTCTTTGCCTACGGCAAGCAATGGTAGGAGAAGAGGAAGATTTAGGATCAGCCCAAAAGGCAGAAGTTCTCTTTCAGTTGAGCTCGTAAGGTCTTCGCAGTAATGTAGTGGAAGAAAAATGAGGTATTGATCTAGTAATTCAATGTGCTGGTCTAGCCCAGGGTAGTAGAGCATGTACAGTTCTTTCACCTCTGACCAGGTGTGAGGAGATAATCAGGAACTAATACATTTGGGCATAGATCTTGCAGTCTTCTTCGAGTCTTTAGCTTTTGCTTCTATGACAAATGGAAGTTGGAGCACAAATGGGACCAAATGCAGCTACAGCGGGCCCAGCTACGATGCCGTGTAATTCTTTATTCCTCTGTCGTTTTGTCCCCTTCCCACAAAGACTCCTCGCTGAGGAACGGGCTCCTGGTGTTTTTCTTCCTGGTCCTCCCACTCCTTGTAGCTGCTGCCCTGGCGTTTGTGAAACGAGACAGGCTGAAGCGGTGGTGTCGAGGAGCGATGTCGCACTGCCACGCGTACGTGCATCTCCCTCTTCCCTTCTCCTCTGCCCTTTTGCAGTAGTCCGTGGGCACTTGTTCCAGGCATGTTCTAGTCCTGAGATGTCAGGCATCAGTTGATGCCTGTAGCTTGCCCCGGGCAGTGACAGAAAAGATCAATTCATCTTAAATTGAGGGAGCAGAGAACTTTCTTTGTACCTTTAAGTTATGTTGGTGATGGGCTTTGTATTTTTGGGTCCTATCTTTAATAGAAAGCGGGCAAATGACTCTGTCATGATCCTAAACAGAGAAAGGGCTATGTTGTTCCTCAGATTTGCTGCAAGTATCTTCCTGACATCTGATACGTGCTGACATGATATAAACCCATCCAGCAGGTTCGCTGTGCTTGGCTCCGTGGCCCGCAGAGTCATTCTGTCAGGGTTACATGCTCACACACTCTACATTGGTTGGGTTTTAGGTCACGGCCATCACCACCTCCTAGGACAGAAGCTGAGCCAAGAGGCCACCACCATCACCACCGAGGCTTGTCGCACGGCATGCCCTATGCACCGAGGGGTGCCCCTATGGTAGGAACAATCTCCTCTTTGTTACTCTCCCCCCCCATAGGAAGTGTCTTAAATGTCCCTTAACTGATGGAACAAGTGTTGCAATTCCCTACGTGCAGGTTTGTGAATGTTCTTGTGTTTTCTTCATAGGCTATGGAGCCAAACACCTTTCCTGTCCCATCTTACCCAGTTAACCAGCACCCTCAGCAGGCTTACCACCAGTCTTACTACCCACCTCTGCAGTACCAGGCCCCACAGCCACAGAAGCTGCCGACAAGGTTGGCTGAGTTATTGCACATAACTACTGCTGTTTGCACTGATGTGTATATACTGTCATTGTCTTCATCTCTATAAGCACTGGGGTGTTTCATCACGTGCTGTACACACACAGGACTGACCTTTTATTGCAAGAAGCTTCTCCTTCATTTCACACTGTGGAGCTACAGTGCTATTACCCCTAGCATTCATTTCACACCCTGTCACAGCTACATTTTGATTAACAGGATTCAGAATGCTTTTGTGGGGCCAGATTAGCCCCGTGTACAGGGGCATAAAACACCTCTCAAAATACCTGATTTAAAAAGAGATCACTCAGGAATCTGTCGTTCTGCTGATGGGGGAGTGCTGTTGCTCAGTACAGGATCATTGCTCAGGAACTTTGAACAGAAAGTTTTCCTTTCCTTTTCATTTTACTTCTAAGATGTAATGCCTGTGCTGGAAACCATGCGTGTCCAGAAAGGGCAGGGGATGGAGCTTGTGTTGGGGGGAAACTTGTGGGGTCTTTGGGAAGAATGCTGTGTTAACACACTGGGTTCCCTGGGGATTTTGGGCCCATTTGAGATGGGGCTTCAGCTGGAAGCTGAGGTTGTGGCCATGCAGTGCAGGCAGGGGATGAGTGATGGGGCAGCCACTGGGGCTCACCATGGCTCCTGTGTCCTCTTGCAGGCCACCACCTCCGCAGCAGCAGCAGTGTGCACCTCAGGGACCGCCTCCATCACAGCACAGGTGTTTACCTCAGGGACAGTACTTCCCTTCTCGACCCGCACCTTTGCCTCCCAAATAGCTTTTGGCTTCTGTGGGGCCTTGACGTGAGCTGACCTGGTCACTGAGAGCTGAGATTGCAGTTAACCCTTCGGCCATGGAAGTGGCCCTCGAGCCTTCCTGCTGCGGCCCGGGATGAGGCGGACGAGATACAGCACGGAGGAATGTACCACTTTAAATACCTCTACCAAAGCTCCAGGGACTGACAACACCGAACCCCCATTCCCAGCTTTGGGAACGGCACCGGGCTGGAAGCTTGGGCACTGCTGGAGTTCAGCCCTTGGGAGTTGCTTTGGGTTGCCCAGGATGCGCCCGGATGCTGGAGCGGTGTGGGATGTGCAGTGAGGAGCTGAAGTGACCCCGTTACCCTGCTCGAAGCAAGGAGATCAGGCCAGTTAACTGAAAATCACACTGCAAGGACTGGAGGACATTATCCACTTACACAACCACGGCACAGGGGGAATAAGGTGTCAGCCTCCTCTTTCAGAGGAAGATAAATACATTGTGCACACGTTTATGCATGTATATATGTGTATTGATGTGTAATAATGCACTTAAATCCTTCCATGCCGACTGACACTAAGCTGTGCTGTAGGAGCTTAATGGTTTAAGATGAGGAATGATGAGTTGCTAAATGAGAATCATGTACTAATGTCCACTAACACCACCGTACTGAGGTAGTGAAAATCAAGGTACGAAAAGGCATGGCCCCATTTTGGTTGGAGGAGGTGGGGTGCTCTCAGCTTTGACTTTGGATCTGAAGAGTGCAGCCTTGAGCCCTTGCTGTGCTGGTGAGGAGAGATCAGGTCAGGGTGATGCTGCTGTGCATGGGTCACAACTGGACCCAGGTGCCCAAACTTGCTAGAACTAAGTACTGAAAAGAGCTCAGCTTTTTCCCTTCCTGCTGGCCACTGAGTGCAAACTCGGTCTGTAAAATGCCCCCTAATATTGCCAAAAATGAAACCTTTTTTCTCTGTATATACATCCATGTATACAATAACAATGTGTATATAGTGTTTGCAGTAATAAAATACTTGAACTCCTGTGGTTTCCCATAAACATAGACTAAGGTTTATAACGATATTGAAATCTGTAAACCATTACCTAGGCTAGCACCAGATGTATCCCTGGGGGTCCTCTGTTTGTTCCATGTAATCACTTCCCACTCTTCTGCTGTGTCCTGCTCCCTGGGGGCTGTCTGTCCAAACCGCCTTCACCATGGGCACGGGAGAGGGAATCCAGGATGGAGAGAGATGTATGGACTGTATCTGAAGCTGCCTCCACTGCAACTGTGCTGAAAACGGTGCCTTTTAACCCATGAAGAGTTTTTATCCTGGCCGCAGGGTGATGGCCAAGGCAAGGAACCGGCTCCGGTGGGATGGGATGCTGCTGCTGACTCCTGTTGTGTAACGCGTGTGCCTGTCCCCTGCGCATCCCGGTACCCAAGGGCTGCTCCCGACCCGCGTTGTAAGCAACAAAGAGCAATAAAGACGCCGGGTTTTGTACAAGGCGCTCCCTCGCCTCCGCCTCTGCTTTCCGGGCTGGGCGGGGACGAACGGCCGCGGGGCAGCCGTTACCGGCGGCGATGGAGCCGCACCGGGCGCTGCTGCTGCTGCTCCTGGGGCCGCTGCGTGAGTCCGGGGCCGCCCCTCCGCGGCTGATGCTGGCTCCGGGATGGGTTCAGCACCTCCAGGGTCTCTCTTCCCCCTCCCCTCCAGGCTCCCAGGTCCTGTCCCCGGTCACGGTGCCGCTGCGGCTGCCCCCCAACGCGACCGAGGCACGTTGGTGAGGGGTCTCCAGCTGCAGGGGTTGGGGTGCTGCAGATGTGCTGGCAGCTGGAACGAGGGGGGATAGACCCATCCTTGCTCCTTAATGGGGCAATGAGCTGCTTGTGCTTGCCCTGGGTGCTCCCAGGTGCCCTCGGCACACACTAATTCTCCCTTTCTCTGCCCTCCTGCACGCCAAGGATGCAGTGTCCTACGTCCTCAGCATCGAGGGGAGGCCGTACACCATCCGCCTGCACCCGCAGTGAGTTGGCCCTGACGCCGCTGATGGCGAGGAGCTCAAGGAGCCAGGTAAGGGATGTTACTGTAGGTGCTTCCCTTTTGATGCCTTCCTTTTGTAGTGACTTTTTATCTGAGGATTTCAAGATCTTCGTGTCGAATGAGGTGGGAGCTGCGCTCGCTGATTCGATCCGGTTCAAGGTAACTTTGGGATGCTTTGGGGATTTCGGACCATAAGTGATGCATCTCGGAGCCGTGTCCACTCCGTGTTAGGTGATGGGTGATGGGATTGTCCTCTATCCTGCCCTAGGGAAGCTGCTACTACCGGGGCTACATCGACGGCTTCCCCAGCTCAGCAGTGACCCTCAGCACGTGCTCAGGGCTCAGGTAAGGAGGCACCGCACCGGTACCCAGGGATGCTGCAGCACCCGGGTGTCAGCATCCGGCGCTGTCCCCTGGCAGGGGCTTGCTGCAGTTCGACAACGTCAGCTACGGCATCGAGCCCCTGGGCTATTCCCCTGCGTTCGAGCACCTTGTGTACCGCGTGAGGGACGGGCAGGCCGCGGGTTCCCTCGTCGCCAGCAGCCGCCCCGAGGCAGGGCCCGATGGGCTGACGGCGATGGAGGCGTCGAGGCGAGCACAGGGACGTGAGGAAGTGAGCTCCGAGCGCCGGTTGTCGCCGTGCTGCTGCTGTCCCCGTCACACAAAGGGGGTTTTATCCCATGGGGAGCTTTGTTGGGTGCTGCCTGGGTGGACAGGGATGAGGGGGGATGTTTAGAAGCACCAGTGACCGGGTGTCACCGGGGTTGTTGCCTGATGAGAAGCATCACCAAGGTAAAACGGCTTTGAAAACAGTCAGAAATGGCAACGTTAGAACAGCTTCTGCCCTTGGGCTCGTTTGAAGGCATCAAAGAGTTGCTTTTGAACTGGCACTTGAGTAGTGGGGCAAACCTTGGGCACATGGTGACTATAGGGTGTAGGAATAAGCAGCATTGGAGGCTCTTTTCCTTTCCAGCCACTATCAGCTGCAGCCCAATCTCCCAAATACCTGCAGGCGTACGTCGTTTTGGACAAGGCTTTGGTAAGCCTGGGCTACTCGTTTTGCCCTTGTGTTTGCCTGATTTTGAGCACAAAATGATGCCATTCCCCACCTTTTACATGTTTCTTTTCCCTTTGAAAACGGTTGCATACTGTGGATTTCTAGGGAAGGAAGAGTGAAATCCGTGTTTTACATTTACACGATGGGATGTTGGCAATCATCGTTCCAGTGATGAACGATGCCTGCTCTCATGTGCCCTTGGGTTATCTTTCAGTATGACCACATGGGTTCGGACACGAAGGCAGCGACGCAGATGGTAATCCAGGTCTTCAATTTGGTCAACAGTGTAAGTTTGGAAGCCCTTAGTAAGGTGATGGAGGGGCTGGTGTTGGTAAGGGCCACCTGAGTGCTTTGGTTTGAGATGGCACCCAGTGGCTGACAATAGCAATGGGTGATTGAATGGGTGTTGAGCTCTCAAGGAGAGGGACCCGAGCAGGCGGGTGCTGTGCTTGCAGGTGTTTCATGCTCTCAATGTCACCATCGTGCTGGCCTCCCTGGAGCTGTGGACACAGGACAATAAAGTCTCGACAGCAGGGGAAGCAGAGGACCTTCTGCAGCGCTTTATGCAGTGGGCAAAGACCCACCTCGCCCTGCAGCCATATGACACCGCTTACCTCTTGGTGTAAGAGAGAGGTTTTGGTACTCGTTAAAGGTTACTTGGTGGGGATCGGTTAAACCACCATGGGTTAACTGCAGATATTCCTATGAAAAATGGGGGTTTAAGATGCGTTTCTCACATATTTCCTAATTCCTTTATATCCTGGCAGTATTTCTCTCAAGTCCAGCCGGGCTTTCAGTGCTAATGTGGTGGATGTCATTGTGCCCATGGCTCCTGGCCAGGGCACGGTGCAGCCCTGGTCTCTGGGGACACCAGAGCATCCCAGGGACTCAAGCCATACAAACCCAGGACCCCCAAATTACCCCCAGTGCTGGGGTCTCCCTGTGTTTCAGGTACAGGGACCAAGCAGCGTTCATGGGCACCACAGCTCCGGGGAAGGCGTGTCAGAGAGATGCTGCTGGCATCGTGGCCGTGGTACGGTGCTGCCTGTCCCCCCCTGAGCCATGGGGATGGGTGGCAGCACCCACAGCCGGAGCAGGGATCCGACGGGAAGGATGCGCAGGGAAGATGCTGCAGCCCCGCTCTCTCCTCCTTTAGTACCATGAGGCCACAACGCTGGAGTCCTTCTCTGTCCTCCTGGCTCAGCTGCTGGGGCGCAGCCTGGGCATCGGTTATGATGAGTCCCCGCAGTGCCACTGCCCCGGGCACGTCTGCATCATGAGCCCCAAGGCGCTGTGAGTTGGTGGTTGGGTACCAGGATGGAGGTTTGGAGGCTGGCAATAGATGCGTTGTCATAGGGATGAATGATTGCTCTGGTTTAGACACTTCAGTGGGGTAAAAGCCTTCAGCACCTGCAGCATCAGGGACTTCGAGGCCTTCCTGAGGCACGGGGGAGGCACGTGCCTGTTCAGCAGACCCCTCCTGACCGGTCCAGCCTCCCAGAGAGCTGCCACCTGCGGCAATGGCATCGTGGAGCCCAGCGAGCAGTGCGACTGCGGGGCGGCCCAGGTGGGGGACCAGGGCTGGATGTGGGCATTGGTTCCGTGTCTGATCCCCGGAGCTGGAGCCAGCCCAAGGTGCATTATGTGGGGTTTGAGATGGTCTCTCACCAATAAGAACAATGTGGGGTTCGTGGTGCCCCCACAGGACTGCTTGAAGGACAAATGCTGTACTGCAGGGTGTCAGTTCAAGCCGGGAGTGAAGTGTTCCTCTGGATCGTGTTGTAACGGCTGTCAGGTAAAGCAGAGCTTTATTTATTGGAGGAATCGTGTCCCCACCATGAAGGATGGAGACAAAGCTTGTGCTGTGCACAGAGGTTCCAGCAGGAACATCACTGGGGATGCTCTTAGGGCAGTGTGCGACCTGAGTGCCTCAGAGGGCATCCTGAGAGCACTGTGTGGGCTGTGATGGGGGGACCCCCCTGGTGCCTGTGTGCGGACGAAGGCTCCTTCCTGCCTCCTCCTCGTCCTCAGTTCAAGCGCAAGCACTGGCAGTGCCGCCCCGCCGCCGATGAGCAGTGTGACCTGGCCGAGTTCTGCACCGGGGCCTCGGCCTCCTGCCCCCCCGACCTGTACGTGCAGGACGGGCACGGCTGCGAGCAGGGCACCGGTTACTGCTACAAGGGCCGCTGCCAGTCCCCGGACCTGCAGTGCCAGCACATCTATGGGAAAGGTAACGGATGCTCTGGTTGCATCGGGGCTGCCGTGGGGTGGGGGCTCGGTTTGTGCCTTTGCTCTTCAATGCACTGGAGGAGAGGAAGGATGCAGCTTTAGGAGAGCGTTGCAAGCTCAGCTCTGTCTCTGGTTGATAGGGGCTTCGTTAGCGGGTGGTTCTCCGGGTTCTTCAGAGGTAACAATGAAAGCAATAGCATCAAATGCACGTTGTTATCCGTGAGCAAGCTTAATCAGTAACTGCCCTCCTGTTTGCTAATACCTGGGGCTGGCGCCTCAGGGACTGGTACTGTGTTTGCTCCAGTTAGCCAAGAGCATCCCTGCACTGCTGGGAGCAGCACGAATAGCAAAGGGGTGGTTGGGTACCCTAAGAGCTCCCTTTGGGTTCATTTAAATGTGAGTGAATCTTACTGCTAAACTTGTAGGTTCAAGGAATGCTCCCGTGGCTTGTTACGAGGAACTCAACAGCCAGCAGGACAGGTTTGGCCACTGCGGCTTGCAGCCCAGCCAAGGCTTTAAGTCCTGCTCTTGGAGGTAGGCCTGGGGAAGGGCACCTTTAATCAGGGCTTTCCAAGGCAGGAAAGCATCCAGGCTCCAGCTGATAGGAAGATCTGCCATGCCATAAGTGGGTGCGTGTCCTTGTTAGCAGGACCGTGTCTCTCCTTGGCTCCCAGGTTGACTTCCCAGTCCCGCTCATCCTTTCTCATGCCGCTTTGCATCGCGCTCCGTAACGTTTCTAGGGCAGCGCTGCACGCGTGCGTGAGGTTCACAGCCCCTGCACATGGATTTTGTAGGGATCTGAGGTGTGGGAAGCTCATCTGCACGTACCCGCACGGGAAACCCTTCCCGACGGACGTGGCTGCCGTCGCCTACGTCCACGTGCGCGGGCAATTGTGTGTGTCTCTGAATTACCTGCATGCAGGAGCGAGGCTGGATCCCACCCTGGTTCCGCCAGGAACAAAGTGTGGCTCTGGGAAGGTGAGAAAGGGTTTTGTAACCCCCTAAAGCGATGGGACACGGGCTGGGTGCTGTGATGGCAAAGCCAGGAGCTGTTGTGGTGTTTCTAGGTGTGCATAAACAACACTTGCCAGCCACATTCGGTCCTGGGCTACGACTGCGATAGCAAAGTGAAGTGCCACGGCCACGGAGTAAGAGAATGCGGTGGTTGGTTTGGTGGATGGAAGGGGGGAAAAGAAGGAAGCTGGAATGAAGGGAGAAAGAATTGAGGGCAGCGGAGCGGGGGGAGATGCAGGTGTTGGGTGGTTGGGGTGGGTTTTGCAGGAGGATGATGTGTGATGCTTGCACGGTGTCTCAGAGTCACACGATCCTGCACTTCCGAGTGTGTTCCTTGCACGATTCCCTTCCGAAATGACCTCGGAATGCTGCTAAGCGCCCATGGCCTTGTCCCAGCCATGGGGCAGAGGCTGATGGTGGCCGGGGCAGGAGGGTCCCTTGCATGGATTCATCGCTCAGCACCCATCCCCTGGCTTTCCAGGTGTGCAATAACAAGGGGCAGTGCCACTGCCACCCCGGCTGGAAGCCCCCGGATTGCCTGCAGAGGGGATCCCGCTTGGGGGGCAGCACCCACAGCGGCCTCCCGCCGCCCGATGGGGGTCAGTACCGAGGGGAGGTGATGGGCGCCGGGCCGGGGTGGAGGAGGAGGGCGCTGGTCCCATTCTGCTGCCCCACCAGGTCTGTCCCTGGCGCGGGTGATGGAGGATGTGACAACGGCATGGCCGGTGCTGGGCTCCTGCCTCCTCCTGCTCCTCCTGGCCGGGGCCATCTGCCTCGTGATCCGGTGGTGGGCGCTGGGCTTGTGCGGACCACGGCCCCCGAGCACCCATAGGTGAGATGCCAGGAGGGGATGGGGCACGGTGCTGCCCCGGGGCGGGGGGGGGGGGGGGGGGGGTGAGGTGATCCCTGCGGCTGGGTGATTCCCTCGGGAGCTGTGGATATGAGGAGGTTCCCCCGGGGCTGAGGGGACCCGGGGATGGGGAGACCCCAGGGATGAAGGGATCCGGGGATGGGGGAACCCCAGGGATGAAGGAATCCGGGGCAGAGGGGATACGGGGATTGGGGGGGGGGGGGGGGGGGCAGGGATGAAGGGATCCGGGGATGGGGGGACCCCAGGGATGAAGGGATCCGGGGATGGGGGGACCCCAGGGATGAAGGGATCCGGGGATGGGGAGACCCCAGGGATGAAGGGATCCGGGGATGGGGGGACCCCAGGGATGAAGGGATCCGGGGATGGGGAGACCCCAGGGATGAAGGGATCCGGGGATGGGGGGACCCCAGGGATGAAGGGATCCGGGGATGGGGAGACCCCAGGGATGAAGGGATCCGGGGATGGGGAGACCCCAGGGATGAAGGGATCCGGGGATGGGGGAGACCCCAGGGATGAAGGGATCCGGGGATGGGGGAACCCCAGGGATGAAGGGATCCGGGGATGGGGAGACCCCAGGGATGAAGGGATCCGGGGATGGGGGAACCCCAGGGATGAAGGGATCCGGGGCTGAGGCGCTGCCCCGCACCTCCCAGCAGCGCCGTCACGGCGGGGAGCAGCGAGGTCTCGGAGTGGAGCTCGGTGATGGGGCCGGACACGGACACGGACACGGAGCCGAGCACGGGCTCCAACCGCGGGCGTTAATAAAGGCGTTGGGCGGAGCCGCGCGTCCGCGCTGTGTGTGGGGCGGGAGGGGGGGGGCCCTTTGGGGCCGTTACCGGTAACCGGGGCGCGATGGGAGCCGCGATGGTGACCGCGCTGCGTGAGTGAGAGCCCCGCAGCCCCGGGACACCCCCGCCTCGGGGCCCCAGCGGATGGGGTCGCTCCCCCATCGCGGTGCCCGGCTCGGGAGGAGCCGCGGACACGGGTTTGATCCCTGCTCCTTGACAAGCGTTGGAGCCCGCTGGGGCCGCAGGCGATGCCCAGCTCCCTTGGGCTGGTCGGGTGTTGCTGGGGGCTGCATGGGGATGGTGACCCCGGGGATGGAGCTGGTGGTGTGGTCCCTTCCCAACGGGACGTGCCTTGTGTGGCTGTGGGTGGGAGGGGGTGATTGGCATCTCTGCGCCCCATTCCGTTTCCTGGTGCAAGGTGGGCTTCATCTCACCCAGGGCTCATGTTCCTGGGCTCTGGTCCAGCGCTAGGCACGCACAGAGCTGTGTTTTACCCATGCAAGTGCCTAGGTGCTGCAGGATGAAGGGTGGCTGGATGATAGCAGGGTAGAAACTAGAGTTGGAAGAACCTCTGCAGGTAGCAACTGCATCTGTCCACGGGCTCTAAAGGCGTCTGTGCAGGTATATGCAGTCCTGACATGGTGACGACCATCTGGGGTTGTAGCTAGGGAAACCAATTCTTTCCCTAGGGTCACAAATGCTGCTGCACATCACAGTTCCCCAGAAGCTGCTTTCAGAAAGAGCTGGAGAGACGGTACTGAAGCAATCATAGAGTAGAATCATAGCATGGTTTGGGTTGGGAAGGACCTTAAGATCATCCAGTTCCAACCCCGCTGCCATGGGCAGGGACACCTCACACTAAACCATCTCACCCAAGGCTCTGTCCAACCTGGCCTCGAACACCACCAGGGATGGAGCATTCACAACCTCCGTGGGCAACCCATTCCAGTGCCTCAGCACCCTCACAAAGAACTTCCTTCTTAGATCCAATCTAAACTTCCCCTGTTTCAGTTTGAACCCGTTACCCCTTGTCCTATCACTACAGTCCCTAACGAAGAGTCCCCCCCAGCATCCCTATAGCTCCAAGCTCCTTGGAGCTCTTGTGCTCACCCCTTGTGTTTGCAGCTGCCCTCAGTGCCTTTCCACAGCCAATTCCTCCTTTCTCTGCTCTCCTGCACACCAAGGATGCAGTGTCCTATGTCCTCAAGATAGAGGGGAGGCCGTACACCATCCACCTGCAGCCGCAGTGAGTTGGTCCTGGTGCTGCCCCATCCAGCCACTGCTGCTGGTAACGGGGTCCGGCTCTGCCAGGGCATCACCTACAGCTACGGGACCCTCAGTGACCTCTCTGAGCTCTGGATTAGAGCATCGCAGAGCGTTTTCCGAGGGTTTCATTGCTTTTCTGCTCTAGATTCTTTTTATCGGATGATTTCAGGATTTACACGTACAATGAGAAGGGATCTCTGCGCTCCGCCTCCCCCCCTGTCAAGGTAACAGCGACCTGCTCGGTGCTGCCTTGTGCCCAGGGTGCTGCCCCTCACCATGTTTTTCCTTCCTAAGCACAGCATGAGGATAAACCAGGTTCTCCTTGCGTGGTCAGAGTCATGGTTGGGAAGGGGTTTGGAGGCACTGAGATTGTTTGGTTTAAAGGTGGTGATGCTGACCATGGCTACCCTTCCTGGTGGGGAGGGGACCATGAGAAGAGCCAGCATCGGGTCTTATTGTGCGGGTGCCACATCCCCACACTAGGACTGATCCTTAATTCCTTGAGAGATTGTCCATACAACCCTTGATGGGGCTGCCTTGCAGAAGGGGCTCCTTGTGCTTTATCCTGCCCTAGGGAAGCTGCTACTACCGGGGCTACATCGACGGCTTCCCCAGCTCAGCAGTGACCCTCAGCACGTGCTCAGGGCTCAGGTAAGGAGGCACCGCACCGGTACCCAGGGATGCTGCAGCACCCGGGTGTCAGCATCCGGCGCTGTCCCCTGGCAGGGGCTTGCTGCAGTTCGACAACGTCAGCTACGGCATCGAGCCCCTGGGCTATTCCCCTGCGTTCGAGCACCTTGTGTACCGCGTGAGGGACGGGCAGGCCGCGGGTTCCCTCGTCGCCAGCAGCCGCCCCGAGGCAGGGCCCGATGGGCTGACGGCGATGGAGGCGTCGAGGCGAGCACAGGGACGTGAGGAAGTGAGCTCCGAGCGCCGGTTGTCGCCGTGCTGCTGCTGTCCCCGTCGCACAAAGGGGGTTTTATCCCGTGGGGAGCTTTGTTGGGTGCTGCCTGGGTGGACAGGGATGAGGGGGGATGTTTAGAAGCACCAGTGACCGGGTGTCACCGGGGTTGTTGCCTGATGAGAAGCATCACCAAGGTAAAACGGCTTTGAAAACAGTCAGAAATGGCAACGTTAGAACAGCTTCTGCCCTTGGGCTCGTTTGAAGGCATCAAAGAGTTGCTTTTGAACTGGCACTTGAGTAGTGGGGCAAACCTTGGGCACATGGTGACTATAGGGTGTAGGAATAAGCAGCATTGGAGGCTCTTTTCCTTTCCAGCCACTATCAGCTGCAGCCCAATCTCCCAAATACCTGCAGGCGTACGTCGTTTTGGACAAGGCTTTGGTAAGCCTGGGCTACTCGTTTTGCCCTTGTGTTTGCCTGATTTTGAGCACAAAATGATGCCATTCCCCACCTTTTGCATGTTTCTTTTCCCTTTGAAAACGGTTGCATACTGTGGATTTCTAGGGAAGGAAGAGTGAAATCCGTGTTTTACATTTACACGATGGGATGTTGGCAATCATCGTTCCAGTGATGAACGATGCCTGCTCTCATGTGCCCTTGGGTTATCTTTCAGTATGACCACATGGGTTCGGACATGAAGGCAGCGACGCAGATGGTAATCCAGGTCTTCAATCTGGTCAACAGTGTAAGTTTGGAAGCCCTTAGTAAGGTGATGGAGGGGCTGGTGTTGGTAAGGGCCACCTGAGTGCTTTGGTTTGAGGAGATGGCACCCAGTGGCTGACAATAGCAATGGGTGATTGAATGGGTGTTGAGCTCTCAAGGAGAGGGACCCGAGCAGGCGGGTGCTGTGCTTGCAGGTGTTTCATGCTCTCAATGTCACCATCGTGCTGGCCTCCCTGGAGCTGTGGACACAGGACAATAAAGTCTCGACAGCAGGGGAAGCAGAGGACCTTCTGCAGCGCTTTATGCAGTGGGCAAAGACCCACCTCGCCCTGCAGCCGTACGACACCGCTTACCTCTTGGTGTAAGAGAGAGGTTTTGGTACTCGTTAAAGGTTACTTGGTGGGGATCGGTTAAACCACCATGGGTTAACTGCAGATATTCCTATGAAAAATGGGGGTTTAAGATGCGTTTCTCACATATTTCCTAATTCCTTTATATCCTGGCAGTATTTCTCTCAAGTCCAGCCGGGCTTTCAGTGCTAATGTGGTGGATGTCATTGTGCCCATGGCTCCTGGCCAGGGCACGGTGCAGCCCTGGTCTCTGGGGACACCAGAGCATCCCAGGGACTCAAGCCATACAAACCCAGGACCCCCAAATTACCCCCAGTGCTGGGGTCTCCCTGTGTTTCAGGTACAGGGACCAAGCAGCGTTCATGGGCACCACAGCTCCGGGGAAGGCGTGTCAGAGAGATGCTGCTGGCATCGTGGCCGTGGTACGGTACTGCCTGTCCCCCCCTGAGCCATGGGGATGGGTGGCAGCACCCACAGCCGGAGCTGGGATCCGACGGGAAGGATGCGCAGGGAAGATGCTGCAGCCCCGCTCTCTCCTCCTTTAGTACCAGGAGGCCACAACGCTGGAGTCCTTCTCTGTCCTCCTGGCTCAGCTGCTGGGGCGCAGCCTGGGCATCGGTTATGATGAGTCCCCGCAGTGCCACTGCCCCGGGCACGTCTGCATCATGAGCCCCAAGGCGCTGTGAGTTGGTGGTTGGGTACCAGGATGGAGGTTTGGAGGCTGGCAATAGATGCGTTGTCATAGGGATGAATGATTGCTCTGGTTTAGACACTTCAGTGGGGTAAAAGCCTTCAGCACCTGCAGCATCAGGGACTTCGAGGCCTTCCTGAGGCACGGGGGAGGCACGTGCCTGTTCAGCAGACCCCTCCTGACCGGTCCAGCCTCCCAGAGAGCTGCCACCTGCGGCAATGGCATCGTGGAGCCCAGCGAGCAGTGCGACTGCGGGGCGGCCCAGGTGGGGGACCAGGGCTGGATGTGGGCATTGGTTCCGTGTCTGATCCCCGGAGCTGGAGCCAGCCCAAGGTGCATTATGTGGGGTTTGAGATGGTCTCTCACCAATAAGAACAATGTGGGGTTCGTGGTGCCCCCACAGGACTGCTTGAAGGACAAATGCTGTACTGCAGGGTGTCAGTTCAAGCCGGGAGTGAAGTGTTCCTCTGGATCGTGTTGTAACGGCTGTCAGGTAAAGCAGAGCTTTATTTATTGGAGGAATCGTGTCCCCACCATGAAGGATGGAGACAAAGCTTGTGCTGTGCACAGAGGTTCCAGCAGGAACATCACTGGGGATGCCCTTAGGGCAGTGTGCGACCTGAGTGCCTCAGAGGGCATCCTGAGAGCACTGTGTGGGCTGTGATGGGGGGACCCCCCTGGTGCCTGTGTGCGGACGAAGGCTCCTTCCTGCCTCCTCCTCGTCCTCAGTTCAAGCGCAAGCACTGGCAGTGCCGCCCCGCCGCCGATGAGCAGTGTGACCTGGCCGAGTTCTGCACCGGGGCCTCGGCCTCCTGCCCCCCCGACCTGTACGTGCAGGACGGGCACGGCTGCGAGCAGGGCACCGGTTACTGCTACAAGGGCCGCTGCCAGTCCCCGGACCTGCAGTGCCAGCACATCTATGGGAAAGGTAACGGATGCTCTGGTTGCATCGGGGCTGCCGTGGGGTGTGTGTATGTGGGGGGGGGCTCGGTTTGTGCCTTTGCCCTTCAATGCACTGGAGGGGAGGAAGGATGCAGCTTTAGGAGAGCGTTGCAAGCTCAGCTCTGTCTCTGGTTGATAGGGGCTTCGTTAGCGGGTGGTTCTCCGGGTTCTTCAGAGGTGACAATGAAAGCAATAGCATCAAATGCACGTTGTTATCCGTGAGCAAGCTTAATCAGTAACTGCCCTCCTGTTTGCTAATACCTGGGGCTGGCACCTCAGGGACTGGTACTGTGTTTGCTCCAGTTAGCCAAGAGCATCCCTGCTCTGCTGGGAGCAGCACGAATAGCAAAGGGGTGGTTGGGTACCCTAAGAGCTCCCTTTGGGTTCATTTAAATGTGAGTGAATCTTACTGCTAAACTTGTAGGTTCAAGGAATGCTCCCGTGGCTTGTTACGAGGAACTCAACAGCCAGCAGGACAGGTTTGGCCACTGCGGCTTGCAGCCCAGCCAAGGCTTTAAGTCCTGCTCTTGGAGGTAGGCCTGGGGAAGGGCACCTTTAATCAGGGCTTTCCAAGGCAGGAAAGCATCCAGGCTCCAGCTGATAGGAAGATCTGCGATGCCATAAGTGGGTGCGTGTCCTTGTTAGCAGGACCGTGTCTCTCTTTGGCTCCCAGGTTGACTTCCCAGTCCCGCTCATCCTTTCTCATGCCGCTTTGCATCGCGCTCCGTAACGTTTCTAGGGCAGCGCTGCACGCGTGCGTGAGGTTCACAGCCCCTGCACATGGATTTTGTAGGGATCTGAGGTGTGGGAAGCTCATCTGCACGTACCCGCACGGGAAACCCTTCCCGACGGACGTGGCTGCCGTCGCCTACGTCCACGTGCGCGGGCAATTGTGTGTGTCTCTGAATTACCTGCATGCAGGAGCGAGGCTGGATCCCACCCTGGTTCCGCCAGGAACAAAGTGTGGCTCTGGGAAGGTGAGAAAGGGTTTTGTAACCCCCTAAAGCGATGGGACACGGGCTGGGTGCTGTGATGGCAAAGCCAGGAGCTGTTGTGGTGTTTCTAGGTGTGCATAAACAACACTTGCCAGCCACATTCGGTCCTGGGCTACGACTGCGATAGCAAAGTGAAGTGCCATGGCCACGGAGTAAGAGAATGCGGTGGTTGGTTTGGTGGATGGAAGGGGGGAAAAGAAGGAAGCTGGAATGAAGGGAGAAAGAATTGAGGGCAGCGGAGCGGGGGGAGATGCAGGTGTTGGGTGGTTGGGGTGGGTTTTGCAGGAGGATGATGTGTGATGCTTGCACGGTGTCTCAGAGTCACACGATCCTGCACTTCCGAGTGTGTTCCTTGCACGATTCCCTTCCGAAATGACCTCGGAATGCTGCTAAGCGCCCATGGCCTTGTCCCAGCCATGGGGCAGAGGCTGATGGTGGCCGGGGCAGGAGGGTCCCTTGCATGGATTCATCGCTCAGCACCCATCCCCTGGCTTTCCAGGTGTGCAATAACAAGGGGCAGTGCCACTGCCACCCCGGCTGGAAGCCCCCGGATTGCCTGCAGCGGGGATCCCGCTTGGGGGGCAGCACCCACAGCGGCCTCCCGCCGCCCGATGGGGGTCAGTACCGAGGGGAGGTGATGGGCGCCGGGCCGGGGTGGAGGAGGAGGGCGCTGGTCCCATTCTGCTGCCCCACCAGGTCTGTCCCTGGCGCGGGTGATGGAGGATGTGACAACGGCATGGCCGGTGCTGGGCTCCTGCCTCCTCCTGCTCCTCCTGGCCGGGGCCATCTGCCTCGTGATCCGGTGGTGGGCGCTGGGCTTGTGCGGACCACGGCCCCCGAGCACCCATAGGTGAGATGCCAGGAGGGGATGGGGCACGGTGCTGCCCCGGGGGGGGGGGGGGTGAGGTGATCCCTGCGGCTGGGTGATTCCCTCGGGAGCTGTGGATATGAGGAGGTTCCCCCGGGGCTGAGGGGACCCGGGGATGGGGAGACCCCAGGGATGAGGGGACCCGGGGATGGGGAGACCCCAGGGATGAAGGGATCCGGGGATGGGGGGACCCCAGGGATGAAGGAATCCGGGGATGGGGGAACCCCAGGGATGAAGGGATCCGGGGATGGGGGAACCCCAGGGATGAAGGGATCCGGGAATGGGGGAACCCCAGGGATGAAGGGATCCGGGGATGGGGGGACCCCAGGGATGAAGGGGTCCGGGGCTGAGGCGCTGCCCCGCACCTCCCAGCAGCGCCGTCACGGCGGGGAGCAGCGAGGTCTCGGAGTGGAGCTCGGTGATGGGGCCGGACACGGACACGGACACGGAGCCGAGCGCGGGCTCCAACCGCGGGCGTTAATAAAGGCGTTGGGCGGAGCCGCGCGTCCGCGCTGTGTGTGGGGCGGGAGGGGGGGGGCCCTTTGGGGCCGTTACCGGTAACCGGGGCGCGATGGGAGCCGCGATGGTGACCGCGCTGCGTGAGTGAGAGCCCCGCAGCCCCGGGACACCCCCGCCTCGGGGCCCCAGCGGATGGGGTCGTTCCCCCATCGCGGTGCCCGGCTCGGGAGGAGCCGCGGACACGGGTTTGATCCCTGCTCCTTGACAAGCGTTGGAGCCCGCTGGGGCCGCAGGCGATGCCCAGCTCCCTTGGGCTGGTCGGGTGTTGCTGGGGGCTGCATGGGGATGGTGACCCCGGGGATGGAGCTGGTGGTGTGGTCCCTTCCCAACGGGACGTGCCTTGTGTGGCTGTGGGTGGGAGGGGGTGATTGGCATCTCTGCGCCCCATTCCGTTTCCTGGTGCAAGGTGGGCTTCATCTCACCCAGGGCTCATGTTCCTGGGCTCTGGTCCAGCGCTAGGCACGCACAGAGCTGTGTTTTACCCATGCAAGTGCCTAGGTGCTGCAGGATGAAGGGTGGCTGGATGATAGCAGGGTAGAAACTAGAGTTGGAAGAACCTCTGCAGGTAGCAACTGCATCTGTCCACGGGCTCTAAAGGCGTCTGTGCAGGTATATGCAGTCCTGACATGGTGACGACCATCTGGGGTTGTAGCTAGGGAAACCAATTCTTTCCCTAGGGTCACAAATGCTGCTGCACATCACAGTTCCCCAGAAGCTGCTTTCAGAAAGAGCTGGAGAGACGGTACTGAAGCAATCATAGAGTAGAATCATAGCATGGTTTGGGTTGGGAAGGAACTTAAGATCATCCAGTTCCAACCCCGCTGCCATGGGCAGGGACACCTCACACTAAACCATCTCACCCAAGGCTCTGTCCAACCTGGCCTCGAACACCACCAGGGATGGAGCATTCACAACCTCCCTGGGCAACCCATTCCAGTGCCTCACCACCCTCACAAAGAACTTCCTTCTTAGATCCAATCTAAACTTCCCCTGTTTCAGTTTGAACCCGTTACCCCTTGTCCTATCACTACGGTCCCTAACGAAGAGTCCCCCCCCAGCATCCCTATAGCTCCAAGCTCCTTGGAGCTCTTGTGCTCACCCCTTGTGTTTGCAGCTGCCCTCAGTGCCTTTCCACAGCCAATTCCTCCTTTCTCTGCTCTCCTGCACACCAAGGATGCAGTGTCCTATGTCCTCAAGATAGAGGGGAGGCCGTACACCATCCACCTGCAGCCGCAGTGAGTTGGTCCTGGTGCTGCCCCATCCAGCCACTGCTACTGGTAACGGGGTCCGGCTCTGCCAGGGCATCACCTACAGCTACGGGACCCTCAGTGACCTCTCTGAGCTCTGGATTAGAGCATTGCAGAGCGTTTTCAGAGGGTTTCATTGCTTTTCTGCTCTAGATTCTTTTTATCGGATGATTTCAGGATTTACACGTACAATGAGAAGGGATCTCTGCGCTCCGCCTCCCCCCCTGTCAAGGTAACAGCGACCTGCTCGGTGCTGCCTTGTGCCCAGGGTGCTGCCCCTCACCATGTTTTTCCTTCCTAAGCACAGCATGAGGATAAACCAGGTTCTCCTTGCGTGGTCAGAGTCATGGTTGGGAAGGGGTTTGGAGGCACTGAGATTGTTTGGTTTAAAGGTGGTGATGCTGACCATGGCCACCCTTCCTGGTGGGGAGGGGACCATGAGAAGAGCCAGCATCGGGTCTTATTGTGCGGGTGCCACATCCCCACACTAGGACTGATCCTTAATTCCTTGAGAGATTGTCCATACAACCCTTGATGGGGCTGCCTTGCAGAAGGGGCTCCTTGTGCTTTATCCTGCCCTAGGGAAGCTGCTACTACCGGGGCTACATCGACGGCTTCCCCAGCTCAGCAGTGACCCTCAGCACGTGCTCAGGGCTCAGGTAAGGAGGCACCGCACCGGTACCCAGGGATGCTGCAGCACCCGGGTGTCAGCATCCGGCGCTGTCCCCTGGCAGGGGCTTGCTGCAGTTCGACAACGTCAGCTACGGCATCGAGCCCCTGGGCTATTCCCCTGCGTTCGAGCACCTTGTGTACCGCGTGAGGGACGGGCAGGCCGCGGGTTCCCTCGTCGCCAGCAGCCGCCCCGAGGCAGGGCCCGATGGGCTGACGGCGATGGAGGCGTCGAGGCGAGCACAGGGACGTGAGGAAGTGAGCTCCGAGCGCCGGTTGTCGCCGTGCTGCTGCTGTCCCCGTCGCACAAAGGGGGTTTTATCCCGTGGGGAGCTTTGTTGGGTGCTGCCTGGGTGGACAGGGATGAGGGGGGATGCTTGTGCCGGGTGTTGCGTGGGTCATTACCCATGTAGTGCCTAATGAGAGGTGTCCCCAAGGGCTACAAGGTTTGCTGATGGGTTTGTAAAAGGGGGGTATTTCTCCCTCCGGTTTGCAGATGGTTGGCAGCGATGTGCTGGCTGCTTCAGCCATGGGATTCATGGGAGCATCCCAGGGCTCACCTTAGCCCAGAGCCAATGCCGTTAGCAAAAGCCTTTAGCTTTGTCCCGAGTGTTAGTGCGTGGCTTTTGCTGTCTGTTCTGATGATAGCATCAGCAGATGGCAGTGCCTTCGGGAGGGTTTAGTGTCTCAGAGGAGCCAGCATTCCTTATGCCTCCTGACTGAGCTGGTGCAATGAATGATTAACAGTGAAGAATCCTGTTTTCCAGCCCAGGCACGAGAGGAAGCTCGCGCTGCACCTCATTTTGGAGAGGGCTTTGGTAAGTCTGGGTCAGTCGGTTCCTGTCCTGTGTTTGCTTTCTTCCCCTGGCTCGAGCTGTGATAAATCAGTGCTAAATCCCCGTGGCTGTCCCCATGGTCCTGCCCGGCCTGTGGCCACGTTTCAGTGTGCAGAAACCCCTCTGATGAAGATAACCCCAACGTGCTTCTGCATGACAAATAACCTACAACCAACCTCGTGTCCTGTTTCAGTACGACTACCTGGGTGCAGACGACTATGCTGTGGTCCAGAAGATGATTCAGGTCGCCAGCCTGCTCAGCATTGTAAGTTTTGTGTGATTTGGATGTACTGAGATGCAAAATGCGATGGTTCCTTTCAGCACACTGATATCCATCACACTGATGGGTGGGATTGGGCTGATTTTGGAGAAGATAACAACTAAATGTGCTTTCTGGTGCTACCAGCTCTCAGCTTTTGACTCTTCGGGTTAGGCTGGCCGAGGTTCAGGTTTGCCTAGGGCTCATCCGGGCTGGGGTAGGAGCTGTGGAGGGGGTTTTGCCCCTCTCTGGTGCTGTAAAGCAGTGCCTCAACCCCCCAGATTAGACACTGTCCCATGGTCCATGCTCCCCAAGGGGTATTCATGCTCATCGGCAGGAGCCGGCAGCCTCCGCTGCTCCTTTCCATCTGCCTCTTAGGGAGTGATTTGGGCTTTTCCTTGCTTGTGTAATACACAGCATAGGCATCTGCGTGAGCGTTTGAAATCCAAGGGGCTAGAGTGTCTCCTCCTGGAAACAGGCAAAAATGCAGGCAAGAAGCATGTGTATTCTGTGTGTGTATTCAGGATCCCTGCTCGTGTTGAGGTTGTCTTTATTAGATCCCGCTCACTGAACTGAATTTGGGGTTTCCCTTTCGGACACGCTTCCATGTCCATTTCCTGCATCATTTCCATCACACGCACACACACACAGAGCAGCAGATCAGTTGCCAACTGCTCCCGTCTGCTTGCCTGAAGGAGCAACCATTCAAGCAGCGCCTGAAACGGAGCATACGGGAAGCAGCCACTTCTCTCGTTGAACTTGCAGATGTTCAGGTCCCTCAATCTGACAGTCAGCCTGTCCTCCGTGGAGGTCTGGATGGATAACAGCATGCTGAAGACAACAGGGAACGCCCAAGAAGTGCTGATGCAGCTGCTGCAGTGGAAGAAGAGCAGCCACGTCCTGCAGCCCCCTGAAGTGCCCTATCTGCTGCTGTAAGAACCTGTTGTCATTGTTTAAGGGCAGCTAGCAACCTGCTGAACGCCCGTGCTTGTGAACAGCACACATTGCTTTGAATGGGACGCCTCTTGTATAAACTAAGAGGCTTTGCAAGCATCAAGCTGGGCAGGACCATTGGCCCTCCCTGTGGACGTGCCTGTGTTTCAGGTACAGGGACCAAGCAGCGTTTGTGGGCACAACAGCTCCAGGAAAAGCGTGTCAGAGAGATGCTGCCGGCATCGTGGCCGTGGTACGGTGCTGCCCATCCCTACCAGCCCCATGTCCCTGAGCCATAGGGATGGACGGGAGCATCCGCAGCCGGAGCTGGGATCCGACGGGAAGGATGCGCAGGGAAGATGCTGCAGCCCCGCTCTCTCCTCCTCTAGTTCCAGAAGGGTGTAACGCTGGAGTCCTTCTCTGTCCTCCTGGCTCAGCTGCTGGGGCGCAGCCTGGGCATCGGCTATGATGAGTCCCCGCAGTGCCGCTGCCCCGGGCACATGTGCATCATGAGCCCCAAGGCGCTGTGAGTTGGTGGCTGGGGATGCTCCCATCATAGGTGTCTTGGGTGTGTTTTGCTTAGGCAAGATCCATTCCTGCTCTGAGTTTAGCAAGAGACCTGAAAGGCACCCAGGGTACCGCTGCGCCTCGTGCCCGCATCTGAGCGGCACAGAGATGTGGAGCGAGCGAGCAGGGGTGGCTGTGTTAACACACAGACGGATACCGTTCATTTCAGGAGTTTCAATGGGGCAAAAGCCTTCAGCAGCTGCAGCATCAGGGACTTTCAGACCTTCCTGAAGCAGAACAGGGACTGCCCGGTCATGAGGCAAGCTCAGCCCCAGCCTTCCCACCATCAGGCTTCATGCGGCAACGGCGTGGTGGAGGCTGGCGAGCAGTGCGACTGTGGGTCGATGGAGGTGGGTGCTGAGAGCGGGTGTAAGCTGGGCTCAGGGGGTGGATAAAGCATTTCTAAGGTAAGGCACACAAGGGCGGCGTTCCCACTTGGCCCCACTGAGGGATCTGTGTGCTGGGAGGATGGGGTCAGGGCAAGCGGTCCCCCGGCCCATAGGGAAATGATTCCTGATGTGTTTGCAGGACTGTGCCTTAGACAAATGCTGTACTCCCCAGTGTCTCCTCAAGCCAGGAGTGCAGTGCTCCTCGGGATTATGCTGTCAAAATTGCCAGGTGAGTTGTGCCCAGCGTTATCAGAAGTTAATCCCATGTTTCAACCTTGGAACAAGCGGATTCTATAGGAGCACTGCCAACCAGCCCTCTGGTTTTGCTGGGATGGGTATGTCCAAAAACCTTAATGATATTTGTGCTGCATTTTGTCTCATTTGGATCATGCTGTAATGGCTGTCAGGTAAAGCAGAGCTTTATTTATTGGAGGAATCGTGTCCCCACCATGAAGGATGGAGACAAAGCTTGTGCTGTGCACAGAGGTTCCAGCAGGAACATCACTGGGGATGCCCTTAGGGCAGTGTGCGACCTGAGTGCCTCAGAGAGCATCCTGAGAGCACTGTGTGGGCTGTGATGGGGGGACCCCCCTGGTGCCTGTGTGCGGACGAAGGCTCCTTCCTGCCTCCTCCTCGTCCTCAGTTCAAGCGCAAGCACTGGCAGTGCCGCCCCGCCGCCGATGAGCAGTGTGACCTGGCCGAGTTCTGCACCGGGGCCTCGGCCTCCTGCCCCCCCGACCTGTACGTGCAGGACGGGCACGGCTGCGAGCAGGGCACCGGTTACTGCTACAAGGGCCGCTGCCAGTCCCCGGACCTGCAGTGCCAGCACATCTATGGGAAAGGTAATGGATGCTCTGGCATCACTGGTGCTAACAGTGAGCTCCAGGGAGGAAGGATCCAAGCAGGATGGATGAAATAAGGGAATGTGGGCACTGCTGGAGCGTGCGGTGTAGGGAAGGGCAAGGGGGGGACCATGGGAAAGGAATGGGCCATCCAAAGGGGGGGGTTTCAGGCTGAACGTGGAGGCAACAGAGCTATCCTGGTCTGTAATCAGCTTTACTTCTATACTTTCAGGTGCCAAGAATGCTCCTTTGGCCTGTTATGAAGAAGTCAACAGCCATCAGGACAGGTTTGGGCACTGTGGCAACCACCCGATGGATGGCTACCAGCCCTGCTCCTGGCCGTAGGTCGCAAGGGGATGCAGGGAGTTGAACCGGGGACATACAGCTAATCTGTGCTTCCTTTTACTGCCCATGCAAAGCAACAACCTGTGAGGAGGTTGCCTTTGCAGTGTTAGCTCTGGGTGTTCCATAGGGAAACGGTGGGGGAGAGAAACCAGGGGCAAGCACAGCACAGACCTAATGGTGCTGCAGTTAATGCTCTGGTTCACAGGATGGCTCCTCCCCTGCTGTCACAGATGGAGCTCTTGCAGAGCATCACATCCATGGGGTTTTATGTTGTGTAAATCCCCCTCCCCGCTTTGTGCCCCTCGACATTCCCAGCACTGGGATCAATCAGATGCTGTGTCCTAATTCGTTGCGCTGATTGCCTTAGGAATCTGGGATGTGGAAAGTTGGTGTGCGTGTACCCGAATCGTCTTCCCTTCACAAAGATGAAGGGGGCCATCATTTATGCTCATGTGCAAGAGCATCTCTGCGTGTCTTTCGACTTTATGAATGGGCCCACAAAGTTTGATCCCCTCATGGTGAAGGAAGGAACAAAATGTGGCCCTGGAAAGGTGAGAAATCCTATGGGATCTTCTGGAAATGGCACAGAATTAGTGGTAGAAATAGCTTCATTTCACAGTGTGGGTTAAAGGTGCTCTCACTTAGAGTTCCAGTAATCACTGCCCGTGCTATTGCCCTTTGCTCGTTCTTTAGGGCTCAGAATGCTTCTTAGGTTCATGGCAAACAATGGTGAAGGGATGTAAAGGGGCCCAGCAGGGTTTTTCTCCATTTGGTCCTGCAGGTTTGTTTGAATGGCACTTGCCAACCACATTCAGTGCTGAACTACGACTGCAACGTGCAGGAGAAATGCCACGGGCACGGGGTAAGTCACAGCAGCGCCGTTACCTTGGTGGTGTCCAGTTGATGCTGCTGAAGAGGAATCAGTGGTTCTGGTAAAACGGCCCTTGGGGCTCGTCTGTGAATGGGCCAGAGCTGTGCTTTGGGTTGCTGTGGGAGGAATGAACTGAGATTGCCTGAATTCCTTTGCATCCCTAGTGAAAAACAAAGGGGATAAAGGAGTGTGGGGTCTTTGCTTGTGTAGATTAACAGAAAACTGGGAGGGGAGGGGGAAAGCAAGAGTATTTAGGGAGGATTTAATGGTACATCATGGAAATGGTGATGGAAAGGATGAGTGTAGCTGTGCAGGGCAGGGTGCTGTGTCTGGAGCAGGATGCACGCTGAGTGCCGCAGTCCTGCAGCAGTGAATCAGGCTCTTCAGGCTGTGCAAGGAGGGATGCTTTCTGGCCCCCCTGGTGCATGCAGGTGTGCAACAACAACAGGAACTGCCACTGCCATCGGGGCTGGAGCCCCCCCGACTGCGAGACCATAGGACCCTTTGTGGGCGGCAGCATCGACAACCCGTGGGAGGCCGGTGGGTGCCCCATGGTTTTCCTGGGTGCAACAGCAGCTCCTATGACCCCACAAACTGTGGAGCTGAGCCCGTGGCATCACCCGCTGCTGCACCTTTGCTTTGCTCCCCAGTTGGAAGTGTCCAAAGCTCTGCCCTGCTGATATACGGGCTGCTGCTGGGCTTCGGCATCCTCCTCTCCCTCCTCTGCAGCATCGTTGCGGTTGTGAGGTGGAGGCGGCAGAACGGGTTCTTTACGAGGAGGCGGTCGCGAACCCAGGGGTGAGTTGGTGGTGAAGCGAAACAAAACCTCCCGATGCCAAGCGGGCATCTGTGTGCGGGAGCCAGGGAAACAGGTTTTCCTGTTGGGAATTCCCGGGGGAAAAGGGAAGAGGGAAGGAGAAGCTGCAGCGCGCGGGGAAAACGGAGAGCCGGGGGCTCGCGAGTGTGATGGGGAAGGGGAAAGGGAAAGGCACCGGGAGCGGGGCTGAGACCGGGTGTCCCCGCAGCCCCGACGACGGCCGGAACACGGAGACGGAGTCGAACACGGACGCGGAGGAGAGCCCGGAACCGGAGCCGGAGCCGGGCGGGGCGGCAGAGGCGGGCGCGGGGCCCCCCCGCAGTCGTTAATAAAGGCGTTGGGCTCAGCCGCGTGTCCGCGCTGTGTGCGGGGGGGACCGGCGGGGCCGTTACCGGCCGTCGGGGCGATGCGGGCAGCGCCGGGGCTGTGGCTGTGGCTGTGGCTGGGGCTGGGGCTGGGGTCGGTGGCTGCGGGAGGTGCCCCGCAGGTAGGTGCGGAGCCCCGGGCCCCGTCCCGTCAGTCCCCGTCCCCCCCCCTCCCCGTACCTTGGCCCCGCTGGTCCCTAACGCTGCTCTCCCCGCGGGCAGCGCTCCCGCAGCTTCATCATCCCCATCGAGGGCACCCCGCGCACCGTGCGGCTGCGGCAGCAGTGAGTGGGGCACAGCGGGACCCGGACCCTCCGTAATCCCCCCCCCCCACACACACACAATGGGGCCGTGGGGAGGGCTCTGTCCCGCACGGTGCCCGCTGCAGGGGCCGCGTCTCTGTTGTTTGCACAGAGCGTTTCTGGCAGAGGATTTCCGTGTCTACAGCGATGGCCAAGGAGGGCTCACAGAGCCGGAACCGGCACACGTGGAGGTAACGATGTGCCCTGTGCTCTGTGCACCCCGTGCCTCTGAATGGGGTGGCTGCAGCAGAGGGGGCTCCCCCTGCTCTGCCCCACCGCGGTGCCAGAGAATCATGGAATGGGTTGGGTTGGAAGAGACCTTAAAGCTCATCCAGTTCCAAGCTGCTTCCGCTAGAGCAGCTTGATCCAAGCCCTATCCAGCCTGGCCTTGAGCACTGCCAGGGACGAGGCAGCCCGTTCCCTGGGAGCACAGGTAACACTGCCAGAGGTGCTCAAACTCCCATGGTCGGTGCCGTGTGGCTGGGGAAGGTGGGTTCCCAGAGGTGTTGTGCATCCTTTCCCTATGGGATCGGGGACCATGGCGTTACCCAGGTCTCTGGGGAGAGGGCACCGAGCCATTGATGTGGCTTTGCTGCTTCCAGCGGGATTGCTTCTATGAAGGCGACATCAAGGGTTTCCCTATTTCCCTCGTGGCACTCAGCACCTGCTCCGGCCTGAGGTAAAGCCATTGCTGTTCCATAGGGATGTTGGTGTCATCACTCAGTGGTGGCAGAGCCATTCCTGCCACTCTGCTCCTTTGCTTTCCAGCGGGATCCTGCAGCTCGCCAATGCCAGCTACGGGATCAAGCCTCTGGAAGCTGCAGCCCGGAATCAGCATCTCTTGTACCCGGTGTGGAATGAAAACGCAGAGGCTCAGCTGTTGGCAGAGAAGAGTTCCCTTGTCTGGCCCAAGGAGGTGCCACCGGAGCCAGAGGATGCAGTAGCAGTGAGTGGGATGTTGTGGGATGTTGCTGTGGACATGTGAAATGTGCAGCTGAAGGATGCTCTTTGTGCTATAACGTGCTGTTCCTGAGTGTATTCAGTGCAGCAGATGCTGAAGGGCTTTGTAACTTGTCTGTGCTAAGGATAAGGCCTCTGCTTGTGCTGGGAGGGAGCTGTGAGGGTGGCCCGATGCTGGGTGAGCAGATTGAAGGTTTATTTGCCTCCAGTGGTTGTATGGCACCAGGAGGACATGGGGCTGTGGGGATACAGAGCGGTTGGGAATGATAAGGAATCCCTGCTTGCTTCTGCTCTGTTGTGAGCGGCCTTTTCCAGCCTTTCCGTGATGCTCCTTTGCTGTAAGCACTGATGGAACCTGGTTGAGGATATCATGTTGTGCATGATGGAAGGACAGCACCTTGGCATGCTCGGGGCTGCTTGTCTGACAGCTCCAATCGGCCGTGAAGTGCAGGACCTGACCGTGGACTACGAACCGCAGCAGCTCTGCACTAACTCGTGCATGGGGGATGTTGTGCGTGTTTCGGTTTGTTATTTGATCTCCCTATAGGATAAGGAAGCTGCCAGCAGGCCCCCTCTGTACCTGGAAATGCACATCGTTTTGGACAAGGCTCTGGTAAGCAACAGGAGCTAACTCCCTTGGGATGACCAGGACTACACGTGGCAGGGACCACAGCCCCGCACCGATGCCCTGATGTGCTCTTGTGTTTGCCACCTTTCAGTATGACTACATGGGAGCAGACAAGGATGTTGTGGTGGCCAAGATAGCGCAGCTTTTCAGCTACGTGAACAGTGTAAGCTGCTTTCGGTCACATCTTGAGCGTGTGTGGGATGTGTGGTGGTGGTGTGGGCAATGACAAGGCTCCATACGTAGAGCAAACGGTGCTGTGGCTCAGCAGGGCTCTATGGACCAGCCGTGGTGTCTGTCTGCCTCCCTCCAGATGTTTGCTCCCCTCAATGTGACCGTGGTGCTGTCTTCCCTGGAGTTCTGGGTTGAAAAGAACAGAATCCCAACCACAGGGGACGCCGAGGAGCTGCTGCAGAGCTTTCTGCAGTGGAAAAATGAGCATCGCGTGTCGTGGCTGCAGGATGCAATGTTCCTATTTGTGTAAGAGAAGGATGGCTGTGGGAGCGTGGGTCAAAAGGGAAGGCAGGTGCTGTTACACCATGCGTCAGACTGACTCTGGTCCATTCCCCAGCTACAGGGAGCAGTCCCGTTCTGTGGGTGCATCTTCTGCAAGGAAGCTGTGCCTCAAACCCCATGCTGGAGGCGTTGCCTTGGTACGGTACCTCTGCCTGTGTGCCCCATAACCTCCCATCCCTATAGGTGATGCGATGGTGCCGCAGCATCTAAGCCCCTGGCTAAGGACCCTGCTCCGGGTGGGAGCAGAGCTGCGCAGCCGAGGTGCCGGGGCACAGGACCCCTCACACTTTCCCACCCCACAGCTCTGTGGGGCTGAACCCGGTCCCTGTCCCCGCAGTACCGCAGGGCTATGACACTGGAGGCGTTTGCAGTCGCCGTGGCCCAGCTGCTGGGGCTCAGCTTGGGGATGGAGCTGGAGGAGCCTGGGAGCTGTCAATGCGCAGGAGCCGCCTGCATCATGCAGCCCAACTCGGTGTAAGGCTGCCCCTGGGCACACGACGGAGGGGTTGGTGTGGTACCCGAGTGATGCCACCCAAGGGGGCAGAGCAGGGGATGCATCCATGAGCAGGGGCAGAGGGCACGGGCTGCCCCCGTGTTACTGATGTCTTCTCAGAGCGTGGTACCACAGCCCTGTCCTCACCTGCAGGCACTTGCCTGGTGTGAAAGCCTTCAGCACCTGCAGCAGAAGAGACTTCCAGCGTTTCCTCGCCGCTGGGGAAGGGCAGTGCCTGCTGAAGAAGCCAGCCACGGATGTAGCCTATAAAGCTCCCAAATGCGGGAACAAAGTGGTGGAGCCGGGAGAGGCTTGCGACTGCGGTACAGCAGAGGTGAGCTGCGGAGCGTTGGTACAGCGGGACAGAGCCGAGCCATGTGGGAATTGCTCCTGCATCCTCCAGCCCTCTCTGCAGGCTTTATGAGACCCTGAGGCCACGCAGACACTCGGCTGCGGTGGCTGCCGTGTCTCAAGTCTGTCCTAGAGGGCTTGTGCGGTGTTGGTGATGGATGGATGGAGCCTGTGAGTGTTGTAAGGATGGGCAATACGGACTTGCTGTGGGAGCATGGGTGGCTGGTGGCAGCCAGCATGGGGACCCTGGGTACCACCGTCCACAGCAGAGCCTGGGAGATGGGAAAGGCCACGCTTAATCCCGTATCCTTGGGAGAAGCGGAACCTTCCCTGACTGTCCCCACCTCCAGGAATGCAGGCGTGACCCGTGCTGCACCATTGGCTGCAAGCTGAGGCGAGGGGTGCAGTGCCTGACGGGACCGTGCTGCCAGAAGTGCCGGGTGAGCCGTGGGATGGGATGGGAACGGTGCATTCCTATGGGATAACGCATCGCTTGCTTCCACATATCCCCCTGCGTTGGCCATCCCAGCCAGGCAGCCCAGGCTGGTGACTCCGTTGTGGTTCTCCTCTCACCCCTTTTTCAGTTTAGGAGGCAAGGCGCAGTTTGTAGGCGCAGCTCCGAGGATGAGTGTGAATTGAAGGAATATTGCAACGGCACCTCTGCGCAGTGCTCGCCAGACCTCTGGGTCATGGACGGGCATCCCTGCAGCAGGAACACCGCCTTCTGCTACCGGGGGGTCTGCCAGACGGCCGACAAGCAGTGCCAGAGGATCTTCGGCTCAGGTAAGGGTGATGGGTTCCGGGAGGGGGAAACCCTGGCATCCCAACCTATGTGTGTGTGTGAAACGGGATGGGTGGTGTGGAGGAAAGGGAGGAAACCTGCTGGGCTATGTGCCCATCAGTGTGCTGTCAGGGCATGGGGTAGCCTGGGGTGTTTATAAGGTGTAGGTGAGAGCAGAGACCTCATGGGAGGTGATCCAAGCTGGAGCATCCCACCATGGCGGGTTGGAGGGACCGGGCTGGGTCTGATGCCGATGGCCCCGGGCATCACTGAGGATGGGTAGCGTGTGGAGATGCCCATTCCCAAGGTGGAGAGAGGCTGTGGGGCAGACACTGAGTGTTGTTCTGTGTTTGCAGTGGCCAGGAATGGGCCCTTGGCTTGCTATGAAGAAATTAACAGCCAGATGGACAGAATGGGGCACTGCGGCTCCAACCAACGCGGTTACCAGCGGTGCGCATGGAAGTAAGTGCTGCAGCGGGGTCTGCCATGGAGCAGGAGAGGTGGGATCCCAAAAGGTGCGGGGGAAATGCAGCTGAGCAGTGAATGAGTCCGTGTGGAGCTGGGAGGGGAGATGCTTCCCAGGCCTGTGTGAAGGTAAGGGTGCCATGTCCACGTGCTGGGAACAGGGAGCTTGGGGTCCGTGCTCCCAGTGGGGATGGCAACAGAGCTGCGATGGAAGGCTGAAGGTGGCTGTGGCCAAGTGCTTTGCTTGCAGGGATCTCCAATGTGGGAAGCTCGTGTGTGAATATTCGAGCTCCAGGCCCTTCACCAAGGAGAAGGCTGCGGTGATGTACGCTCTGGTGCAGAACAAGCTGTGTGTAACGTTGGACTACATGAAGCCTCCCACGGAGAGGGACCCCATGCTGGTGAACGATGGCACCGTCTGTGGTGACCGCAAGGTAAGCGATGCCTTGATGGCAGCAGCTCCTTTGGGAGAGGAAGGGCTTGTAGAAAGCATTGCAGTGGTAATGGCATCAGGACCACGAGGGCAGTGGCTTTTCTTCAGCTCCATCCCAAATGAGTGAGGATGGATGCATGGGAACCCCTTCAGATGGGGTCCATCACGAAGCCTGGCGCTCCCTTGTGAGCTCCCTGATGGAGCTGGGTGTGTAACTTAGCCAGGGCTGCCTGTGTGCTTGTGCTATAGATCTGCCTGAGCCAGAAGTGCGTGTCTGTCGCTGTCCTCAACTACAGCTGTGGGATGAAGTGCCACAATCACGGCGTAAGTCACGGATGTGCTGGGGACATGGCTTTGCTAAAGCAGCCACTGGGTCCTCTCAGTGGGGAAGAGCAGCAGAGGTGAGGTTGGTGGTGGAAGTGCCGGAGCATCTCTCAAGGCTGCTCAAGTGCCACCAGCAGAGCCCTGTGCCCAGTGTCTGGTGGGTGAGGATGTGCGGGCATCACCCTCTGCATGGGGTGATAGATCCCATCCCTCCCCGTCCATCACACAGGTCTGCAATAACCTAGGGGCCTGTCATTGCTACCCAGGCTGGAAACCACCAACCTGCTGGGAGAGAGCAGGGGCAATGAGCGTGAGTGGCAGCGGTCCCACCGAGCAGGGTGAGTGGTGAAGGCAGCAGGGCGAAGGTTTTCATGGGAAGAGAGAGATGATGGATTCCTGTTCTGGTAGTGGCTTGCCAGAGCCACTGGGGCTGGCTAGGCACATGCCTGGGTCCCATATTGTGTCCCTGGATGAGCTCAAGGAGGTTGTTTTGTTTCCTTGTGCCTCGATGGAGCAGATGAGGAGAGCGTGGGCTCCATGAAGATGTGTCTGTTTCTCATCTTCTGCTTCTTTCTGCCCATCACCCTGGCGCTCCTCCTCCTGTTGCTAAAGAGAAGCGGCCCAAGTTGCTGTCGCACCACGGAGGTGTTGGAGGATGACAAGTGAGTCTGTGCTCTGCACCAAAGGGTGTTGGGGTGACGGTGTGTAGGTGGCTGTAGGCAGCAGGAAAGCTGGAGCCTGGACAAGGACTCTCACTGTGCAGCACACCCAAGGTGGGAAGAGGTATTTAACCTCTTAGATGCAGCACTTGGGGACCTGGTTAGTGGTAGACTTGGCAGTGCTGTGTTACTGGTTGGACACAACGTCCCCGTGGCTCGTGGTGGGCCTGGCCCCCAAATGAGCTCCATGTGGGCCCATGTGGCTGGAGGTGGGTGCTGACCATAACGGTGCTTCCTCTCCAGCCTCAGGTTTCAGGACTCGGTCCACGGAGAGCAGGGCACGAGGGATGTTGCAGTGCAGCACGACGGAGGGAGATGCATGTGGCATCAGTCTTGGCAGCCACGTAACCGCATCCTGGACAGTCACCACTGTAAGCGGGTGTAGTGTGTCCGGTTGTTGTGGTTTTGGTTGTTCAACAAAAGCTGTTCCCAATCAACGAGGAGTTGTGTGGTTCCTGAGCTTCACTATGTACCAGAACAATGCCTGCATTGGGACCCTTCCAACCCATGGCATCTCCATCCCTTCCCACCCATCCATGCTGTCTCCATCCCTTCCCACCCATCCATGGTGTCTCCATCCCTTCCCACCCATCCATGGCGTCTCCATCCCTTCCCACCCATCCATGGCGTCTCCATCCCTTCCCACCCATCCATGGTATCTCCATCCCTTCCCACCCATCCATGGTGTCTCCATCCCTTCCTACCCATCCATGGTGTCTCCATCCCTTCCCACCCATCCATGGTGTCTCCATCCCTTCCCACCCATCCATGCTGTCTCCATTCCTTCCCACCCATCCGTGGTATCTCCATCCCTTCCCACCCATCCATGGTGTCTCCATTCCTTCCCACCCATCCATGGTATCTCCATCCCTTCCCACCCATCCATGGTGTCTCCATCCCTTCCCACCCATCCATGGAACCTCCAGCCCCAGCATGGGAAGCATTCAGTGCAGGCACCACTCCCGGTGCTCGTTTTCCCCCAGGAAGCCCCTGTTTGGGCAGGCCCTGCTCACAGCATCCTACCAAGCCCCCCTTGCATGGGGGGGGACCCACCAGGGTGCCCCAGTGACCCCCGACTGCAGGGCCCCTGCCTGGCGCCGACCCACAGGAAGAGCCTGGGGCGGATGCACCGGTCCCTGCCATGGGGCAGGCTCCTTCCCGCTGGCGTGGGGCCGGGTGGAGGAGGAAGCCTGAGTCATCGGAGCAGGAAATCCCCTCTCTCGTCCCTTCCCTGCAGCCACAGCCCCTGGACAAGCACCCCATAGCCCTCACCATCACGCTGGGATGTGTGGGGTCGGGATGCCCACAGCACGGCACCGGTGTGCCATTGACCACTGGCAATTAAAAGCATCGTTACGGACTTTGATGGGGATTTGATGACAAATTTGATGCCAACTCAGCTCCTGTTCAGGTCAAAATGCCGATAAACCCTTGAGTGGCAAGAAATGTGGATTAGGGAGTTTCAGTCCTTGCTACACAGGGCTTTGGATGTGTAGCATCCACCCCATCAATTTATTTTGGCTATGCCAGGCATAGTGTTATTGTGAGCATCAGCATCAGGGTGAGGGTACAGGGAGGGCCTCCTGTATCACTCCTGTGGTGCTTGGTACCCGGGCATGTCACGTACCTGACAGGAGCTATGGCAGGTCCCAGAGCCACCAACCCAGGTCTGCCCTGCTCTGCCATGCCTAGTGCTGTGTTGGCTGTGGGTCTGTGCTGCACTGGTGCTGAGTGGATGGTCTCTGCGTCTTGCCTGGTTCCTGCACACAGGACATAAGTTTGGCATTGCCAGGACGCGGGGGTACAATGCAGCATCCCTGAGCACCCCAGGTCACCTCGATGCAGCCTCCCATGAGAGCCTGGAGCATCCCTGCAGCTCCAAGGGGAGGTGCTGGGGAGAGCCAGCTCCCATCCCCGAGCCTTCCCCATAGGTGGATGCCCACGGGGCTGGAGATCAGTGTTTGCTCTATGACAGCCCCTTATCAGCAACCTTTAACCGTGTTTGCTCGGCCCCTCCGGCCATTGGGCTCTGGCTCCCTCCGGGACAAGGAGCGCTGGCTCAGCACATACCGGGAGTGCGGCAGGCACCAGGAGCCAGGTCGCATCCTGACCCTGCAGTGATGGAGCCCGGCGACGGCTCGGAGGAGCCCCCATTGCCTCTGGCACTGGCGAGGTTTCAGCTCTCCGAGGAATACGGTTCCCTGCTTCCCGAGCCTCTGGTAGGACGCGGCCCAGGAGCAGAGGGGTTGGTGGTGGCTGTCGGGTTGGGTTTCAGTTTGATGCTACTTTAACCCACTTGATAAACAGCAGTGGGGAAGGCACGGTTTCATAGGGTATCTACAAGGGATTAGCAAGAGGCACAGGGGAGAGGAGAAGGGGCTTTGCAACCCACTCTGGCCTTGGCTTCCAGGGTGAAGAGAGTGCTCAGCCCCCAGGGAAAGCCCTTTTCCAGCACGTTTTCCGTGCTGAAAGCGGTGCCATTCATCACCGGGTTTACTTCACAGCAGGGAGCGCTCAGGGACAGGCAGACGCTTGTTTATCATCCCTTAACCGCGATCACAAGGGCTGCTGTTACAAGCGGGGGAAGCAGACACAAGCCATTAACTGCAATGGCTGAGGCTGGATGGATGCTGGGGGGTGGATGCAGGCGCACGGTGCATTAAGTGTCCTCCTTCTCCCCTCTTTACCAAGACAGAGCTGCCGGCACCCTACGGTCCATGGATGGAGATTGCCCACGACCTGCCTCAGCTGATCACGAGCCATGGGCTCCGCTCACGAGTTCACCAGGTACCTTTATCCTTCCCATCCCTGAAGCTCTCCCAAGCCTTGCTCTGACACAGCAGTATCCGCACTGCAAAAGCGCATGGAAAAGCAAAGCCGTGTCCTTAGCAAGGGCACAGCCAGACAAGGACTAATGCCACCCAAGAGCAATGCATCAGCATTGATGGTGGATCCCTGGGCTCATCCCAGCTGAGGAGCACAAGGCTTTATGGTCCATGGTCCAGCTGGACCCATGCAAAAGGAGAAGGATGCCTTCATAAGTGAAATGCTGTGATTTATTGTCCGTGTTCGCAGACCAGCAGTAGGGAATCAATAGCATCCTGGGCAAGGGAGGTGGGATGGAAGCTGGATGGATTGGCACTAGCAGGGTCTGTCCTTGGCAGATGCCACAGTTGAGCACCCGGCACCTCCATGGGCGCAAGGAGCTGCACTTGGCACATCTGGTGCTCAGCTTCATCACCATGGGCTACCTCTGGCAGGAGGGCGAGGAGGGCACCGTGAAGGTAAAAACATCGTGGAGCAAGTTCACCTCCTCCTTGGGGTCTGGAGGCAGCTCCCCTGGGACTCATCCTATGGGAGCAAAGCCCCTTTCCTGAGCGTGACCCCATAGACTGGCACCATTCACCTGACAGTGACTTCTTCTTCTCCTGTGTTTTATGCCCTTCAGGTCCTGCCCCAAAACCTTGCTGTCCCCTTCTGGGAGGTCTCACAGGCTCTGGGCCTCCCTCCCATCCTCAGCCACGCAGACATTGTGTTGGCCAACTGGAGGAGGAAGAACCCCAATGGGTAAAGAGACAGCAGTGATGACTCTGAGCAGGGCCCATCCAGCACAATGGATCCCAAACTATTCCTGTTCCATCAGACCCCAATGAAACCCACCACTGTGGGGCCTGCCTTGGACCAATGAGCCCCTCTGTGCTCCCCCCCCCAGAACACAGCCCATTGCTGATTCTAACATCTCTCTTTCTCTCTCCTTCCCTTGTATGTCTGCTGGCAATAACAAAAATGCCTTCAGGCCTCTGGAAATCGAGTAAGTATTTAAGATGCTTATTTATTTTCAGGTGGTATTAGTTTTGTTTGGCTTGGCTTGGCTCTCCAGCACTGCAGGGCTCTCTTCTCTCTTGATGTATGAGCACAACAAAACCAGCTCAGCCTCATTGGCACGCAAATGCTACTGCAACAACAGCAAAGTGCCATGGCTGCGGCTGAGCCTCGCTGTCCTGGGCCAGCCTCATAGCCCAGTGAGTGCATGGAGAGGGTCCTGCATCCCTTAGAACCACAGCAGCCCCTTTCCTCTTGGGCTCTGGGCCAGCTCTGCCCTGCCCAGGGTGCAGGCAAGAGGCTCTGTGGCTGGGGAAGGTTTGGTTCCAAGGCTCAGTGGGTTTTGGGGTGTGCAGGGAACCCCTGAGAAGCATCTTCCTGATTCCCCCCATCCTTGGCTGCTGCAGCAACCTGGACACCATCATTGCATTGCCTGGGGGAGAGAGCCTGAGAGGCTTCATCCTCGTCACCCTCCTGGTTGAGAAGGCGGCTGTGCCAGGGTTTAAGGTAGAGCATCATTGTCCCTTTGATGGGGGTACCATCCCCTGCACCCTTGCTCGTGGGCTGTGGGCATGGGCAGAGCTGGTATCGGGTACCCAGAGCCGCTGTGCTCTGACATCCCGGCCCCTCATCACGTTGTGTTCTCCTTTCTCTGCTCCCCAAGGCAATTGTGGAGGCTGTTCGTGCTGTGCTGCAGCTGGATGAGGAGACCCTGCACAGAGCACTGCAGGAGATGGCAGGGGCCATCCGGGACATGAGCAAGGCTTTGAAACGGATGCATGGTAACAGCATCGTTGGGTGGAGGGCAGCTCGTGTCCCACAGTGAGGTGGGACCCATCAGCTGATGGATTGGAGCTAGTGCTTGGTCCATAAAGCATCTCTGGAGGGATGGAGCGGGAAGAGGTAGGAAGAACCTGGTGCAGCTCAGTGATCCCAGTGTGATGCACAGGCCCTGAGCACCCAAACTGCTCCAGGGTAAAAGTGTGGGGTGTTTTGGGGCTCCAAGCACTGATGCTGTGCTGCACACTGCGGTACCCAAGGAGCCAGGGTACCCAGCCACCAAGGGCACCAGCACCACGCCAGGTCCTTCTCTGAGCACAGATTCAGTTCACCTTGGCTGTGACAGGAGGGACACGGCCACACGGGAACCACTGGTGCATGGGGAACGAATGGCCTTTTGCTTGCACTAACATCTATGACCTGGTTCCCTCCTAGACCATGTGGATCCAGCAGTGTTCTACTCCGTGATCCGCATCTTTCTCTCTGGGTAAGTAAAACAACCCCCCACAAACACTAGGAAAGATCATTTGGGCAAGGCAGAACCATGACTGTGAGCCTGAAGCTGTGTGTTTGTCATCCCTCCTCTTCCCTGCGGGGCTGCGAGCATCCTTCCCGAGGGGTTTCTATTCTTATTTCTCTTCAGCATATCTCAGCATTCCTAAATCAAAAGGCTCCATGCATCCGGCTTAGGTTTCTCTCATATTTTATCCCAGCTGACCTTGTCTTGATGGCCATCGGCCTGGAACAACATGCCTTTTAAATTCCCTTCTGCTTAGAAGAGCTTCCCACTAGTAAAGATTACTATAAATACAGCCCGGGGAGAGCTAAAAATACG